TTGAGGTATACCTATGATGAAAATTACAGGCCTCTCTCATCTTTTTAAGTGGGAGAACTTGCACAATTGGTGGCTGACTAAATACTTTTTTGCCCCACTGTATATCACCAATTGGGAACATCACTTCTCCTGACTGAAGTGCCTGGGGAGAGAACAGGTCAGGCCCAACCAGACATTGGGGACGGAGATATGTTCTCATCTGAGTAACTGAACAAAGGATGTCAGCTTGTTGACATCATGTCCTTCATGATTTTCAAATAAGCAATTTTACAATGCATTTGTGACAGCAATAGCATGGATTGCAATAGCAGTCATTTCTCTGAAATGAGAAATTACTGACAGAAGAAATTCCAAAGAAAATCATGCCCCAAATTTAAAGCATATTGGTGACAATAAATAATAATTAAATAAGTTTGAATAGCAGTAGCATGAAATAACTGGGCATGCTTTAAAATTTGGAGAATGGAGACAAGTAATTTCTGTTATCATATATTAAAAATTTAACAGTAGCCCAATTTATAATTATGGATGATACAGAGCCACAAAAACTAAATGTGCCACACAGGAGAAATGCTTCTGGTGTAAACATGCCTTACCCTGTGCTAAGTTTTGCATCTTGGGATGCCTTCTAAATATTGGGACAAGACTATTTCCAACTGTTCTTGCAGGGACTGATAGAAAGATGTTATTTTAAGGGAGAAACTTGTAATCATTTTGTGAATTGAAAAAAAAAAAAAACATTCTGCATGCCAGGCACAGGGAATTGTGGACATGAGAGAGAAGACTCTTTTTTACATTAGCTCAAGAAAGTGAGGATATACATGATTTAATGTGATTTGCTAGAATTGCAAATACAGATGTACTTTGCTACATGCACTTAACACTCTGCTACTTATTTTGCTGGAAAGAGAAATGCAAAAGGGAAAGTTAGCCTTTCAACCTTCTTGGGAGCTGGTCAACACATAAGGTAGCAGGGAACTGTGGTTGAGAGAACACAAGCAGATTCATACACTTCCTCCAAAAGAATATCCCCTCCCTTTAATTCACACAAACTGATCAGCACTAATGTTGATAGTATTTATGGCTCGCAAGTTTCCACTTAACCAGGATTTCTAGTTGGCTAAGACTCCAACTTCAGCAGTCATAGTTAAAAGAGAAGGGGAGAGGGAATCTGCAATTATGCAGTCTTAAACCATAGTTAAGAGCTCAACCCACTCAATATGTGCACCTGCCCTTGAGTACTAGGAAGGAGAATTACATGACTGTATAGTTACCTCGCCAGCAAGTCCCAGATGAACTTCCACTCCTGCTTCCAGAGGTCTGTCACCCAGCATGGGCCGACGAGCATACATCCTTCTGTGCTTTTCATCTACTCGTACTAAGTACCATGTTCCCTCAAAAAGATCATCCACTGAACACTGGGGAATATAGTTTGCTGTAAAAAAAAGGGAGGGGGAGGCAGAATTTCTAAATAGGCAGTTTATTCCATGTATTAGCATACTGTAATGGTCATCACCTTTTCAGATGACTCATTACCCTGAATGATGTTAAGAGTGCCAAAAATAAAAGTAAAAAGTGAATTAAAGTTTAACAAGTGTATTCTTTTCTTAAAATTATGTTTCTTAACAAAATATAAATACCTAAAATCTAAGACAATCTTATATCTGAATCCAGAAATCCAATAAGTTACCATCCATTTTTGTTTTCTACAAATTTGCATATTTTTGGAGATGGGCTGGTACTATCAAGCCTTATTACAAGCATTGTAGTGCCTAGAAATGCAGCAGTGCTACATGCTATGTTAGTACAGCTGATGTAATTTTTTAAGGCTATTGACCCTAATCTGTAAATAACCTTCCCAATGATCAACAAATCTCCTTCAGTAGGAACGGTAGTACATCTCATCCTTCAAGGCTTATAGAACAAAATATGATACTCAGATCATTCAGTTCAGAAGTTAAAAGGAAATGGAACCAGGGCTTAAAGTGTAAATCCTTATTTATCACAAATGGTAAGGTTTTATTTCCTGGATATGGCCTAGGTTTTCCACATACCTCTAATCAAAGTTGGATGGAAAGTTCTCTAATTACTGGAAAGGTGATAAACCTTTTTTTTTTTTTTTAAATAAGCATCATATTTTGATGTTTACTGCTATCTCCACAGTTGTAATGTACATCATCCTTAATGTCATCCCAGAAAAGACAATGGATTGGGTACAAAACAACAAGCTCACTAAAATTGACAGGACTTATTACTAATATAGGTCCTATTGATTTCCATGGGTATACTCCAACTATGACTAAGTCTAGATCAAATACATCACAGATTCTCTACCACTCACCTAAGTGATGAGTCTCTTGCCTTAGCATCATGTTTTCTGCAAATACTTCTGGTGTGATACATTTCCTTGAATCAAGCCTTGCTTTCAAATCAGTCAGGCTTGCTATGATTTTATCCAGAGAAGAGCCTGCAGTATAAAGGAGTAATTTTTCTTGAAAACATTATTATACACAGTTATATACTTGGACATGCAAGAATAAAGCTAGGTAAAACAACACTTTGATTTCCTATAAATACCCCAGAAGAGGGGTTCTTGAGACCCTTTATAATGGCATTAACTCAAAGAGACTAGTAAAGCAGAATGGCTGACATCTTAAGGTTTCCTGACATTCTTGCCAGAATAAACAATTTTACCTCACATTACAACAAGACTCACCATTGCAGCTAAATTCTGATACATAAATTTTAAATCTATGCATTAGGCTCGACAATACTACAGATTTGAACCCAAAATGTGCTTCAGAGCATGTGGGGTCAAGAATGCAAGATCTATCAGCAACTCTTTAAAGCAACTGCATCAATATAGTTGTTTTAAGGAGCCACAAGTTAAGCTGCATTTGCACCCTGGTATGAGTCAAAGAATTCCTTTGGAATCTAACCTGAAACACTGCACAGCCCTACTATGCAACTTGCTTCAGAGAAAGATAAAATAGACTATAGAAGTAGCTTCCTTTAGTTTTATTATTTTGTACAAAAAAAAAAATTCATTATACATGGGAGTCTCTTCCTAATCTGTTGCCCTCTGGATTTGTTGAATCCCTATCATATTAAGAATGATGTGGGTTGAAAATACCTGAAGAACACAAATGGAGGGAAAGATTGTTGTAGAGAAGACTTGGGGGTAAGTAGTGGATTCAGAGTCAAGAATGTAACCTAACGACAACACTTGGATCCAAAATATAACCAGTAATTAATAGCTATTAAGGATTGGCATTTCCCTAACTTGGGTCACTTCTCTATCTATGATAACCAATTTTTGACTTCCAAAAGTTCCTCAGGAAGCATCAGCATATGTACACATTCATATCTCAATAACCACATGAGCTATACTTTTAAATTTTTAAATTCAAGATTCTCAACAAGTTGAATTGTGTGCTTGTACAGAGTCCAAGCATCATAAATAGCTATTAGTATTTACACCCACTAGGAATTCAAAATTAGCCATATCCTTGTGTGTGTGTGTGTGTGTGTGTATACACGCACACATACATACATACACATACATACACTTGATGGTTTTCCTCACCTGGAGTTGCATCTTGGCTAACCTTGATGGAATAGAGGGTAGCAGCAAAACCAGAGCCATATGAGAAAACCCCAATCCTTTGTCCTGCCAGTTGCTGTGGAGAGTACCTGCATGTCATAGGAGGTCAAGCAGTTAGCAAAAAGCTTAAAGAAGATAAAATATCTCATTTCCTGGTTGGTTGGTTGGTCATTAATTCATTCATTCATTATTAAACTTGTATGCCGCCCATCTCCCCCAACGGGTGACTCTGGGTGGCTCACAATAA